GGGCGCGCGGGTTCCCCGGGGGGCTGCCGAGCCGGCCCCTAACGGGTGGCGCCGGTCCCGTTGCAGGTGCAACACCCAGGACTACATCTGGCACAAGGGGGTTCGCTGCGAGTCCATCATCACCGACTTCCAGGTGATGTGCGTGGCCGTGGGCTCGGCCGCCCTCGTGGTCCTGCTGCTCTTCATGATGACCGTCTTCTTCGCCAAGAAGCTCTACCTGCTCAAGACTGAGAACAACAAGCTGCGCAAGACCAAGTGAGTGGCCCGGGGCCCGGCAGGGGAGGGAGCTGGCAGGAGGTGGGGGGTAGCGGGAAAGGAACCCATCTGGCAGCTCACAGGGGAGGTCCGGGGGCTAATCAGCTGGTACGGTACCCACTGGTAGCCCCACAGGAGAGGACCTGCCTGCCAGCTTACAGGGAGCATGGGGGGGCGGGTGCACACAGCTAACCTGGAGGACAGCATCTACTTGTCCAACCCTTGGATGGCAGCCCTCCCATGGGGTACCAACACTCCTCAGCCAGTGCAAAACAAGGGAGAGTGCCTGCCTGGGAGAGGCCACACAATGTCCCTATGTGTAGGCCGTCCCTGCTCCCACCCTTGGCCCGACAGTACCCGGTGTCCGTCGTGATCCACAGGAGCAGAGCGAAAGCCTGCCCGTGCGCCTGCCTGCCCGTGATCCAGCCAGGTCCCTGTAAGCCATCCCCCGGGGGCACTGCACCGCTGTTGAAGTGCAGCCACCTCTGGGGTGGGACACAGCAGCTCTAGAGCCCTGGAGTTCAAGGCCAGAAGGGACCCTCTCATCCGACCCCCTGTGTGTCACAGGCTGCCAACGCTGTCCTGCCCTCGGCACTAAACCCAACCCCCGACGTTTGGCAGCCCTCGGGACACGGGGCCGGTGCCCCAGGGAGACAGCGGGCAGGAGGGAGGTGCCATCCGACAACACTGTGCTGCCGATTGGGACAGGAGTGACGCGACGCAGTGGAGACTGCCGGGGGGGGGGGGGGTGGGAGGGGGGAAGCCCC